AAAAAAAAAAAAAAAAAAAAAAAGTCAAAGTTTTCTCTTCTCCCATGCCACCTACTGAGGCCAAGGGAATTAGTTAAGTTGACTTCTCATTCCAGTTCTGTCCAAATCTGTCTCCTACAGTTCTATCCCAGGCAGGGGGAGAAGGAAACTCTAAGATGGATAAATTTGTCTAAATCTGGAGGGAAAATCTGGGAATTACCACTTCTATCTTGATCACTTGGCTGAACTCAGATCTCTTTTCTAGTCAGGCTATATCTATCTCCTGTAGCAAAGTAAGCACTCACAAGTGTAGGCTGAGATTTTACTTTTACTGCCCCAAGGGAGGGGAAGTTCCTTTACTGGTGGTGCCAACCTCTGTTACTTTACTTATTTTTGTTTGTTTCTTTTTTTTGTGTGTGGGGTGGTGGTACCGGTAATTGAGCTCGGGATCTTGTGCTTGCAAGGCAGGTGGTGAAATCACTGAACTATACCCTGGGCCCCTACTTTAATTATTTTCCTGAATATCAATATTTTTGAGTTTTTTCTGGTTGCTAGCTCACTTGAGTTGCAATCCAGTGACTTCCTATGGTTCCTCTGTCTCCACACAGAGCGACATATCTGTTTATCCAGACAAATATTCCAGAGTGACTTGTGAGTGCTGGCTGCTGTAGTCTACCATCATGCCCTTTCAAGGTTTCTAATTTTCATGCTGACATCTGGACCATGAAGATAGGGACAATGTTGAACTTGTGCATTGGTAATACTTTGCAATGGTTGTTTAATGAGTGACTAAAGAAATGAAGAAATGCTGTCTTTCCTTGTTCCCACCACGAAAGTCTTTCTTGTGAATATTTCTCTTATTCTCTTCTCTGAAGAGGTAGAGAAATGCGTGGTCTTGAATCTGGGTTGTCCTTTAGTAAGATGAATGACCACTGTTTAAATGGCATAGCTGAGCATGACAGACCAATTTAACTGGTTCAGGCAGAAAGGAAAATATTGCTTCTGATAATCAAATCCTCCCTCCCTCCCTCCCTCCCTCCCTCCCTCCTTCCTTCCTTCCTTCCTTCCTTCCTTCCTTCCTTCCTTCCTTCCTTCTGCTTCTGCTTCACTCTACATATCAGTTTCTTTTGCTAAGATCCATTTTCACCAAAGACTTCAGTTTTGGACACAGATCGATCATAGCCATATCTTTTTAGCATTGACATCTAGATGAAAAAGGCTCTCCTCTTGGTTCTGGCTTGGAAGATCCCAGGGAAGGACTTTGATTCATCTACTGGCTCACATGGTCCAGGTGGTCCAGGGAACTACGCTTCATCAACCTCACTGCAGCTGGATAGATACGGAAGGAGATGCACCATCCTTATTAAAAAGGGGAGTGCTAGTCCCAGAAAGGGGAGTTGTTCTAGGCAGACAAACAATATGACAGCTGAGAAGTACTTATAACATTTATTTCTGTCAGCAAAGAAAGTCAGATCTTACATTCATTCACTTTAGACCTCATCAGTCACCCTTTCTGGCTATCCTCATGTTCATCATCATTACGTTTATTTAGTGACCATCTGTTATATGTTAGGTACCACACCAGGTGCACCAAATATATTATCTTCTTTCTTTTCTTGCAATAGTCCAATATGGCAGAAATTATTTATCTATTTTGTTGAAGTTCAGCCACACAGACACGCAACCTAGTGTACAGGGGAGAAAGGATTTGGACTCTAATCTCTCTGACTTTAATCCCTGTCTTCTTTCCGCTACTGCATTATAGAATTTATGCATCTCTAGCACAATGCATAACAGAACTCTAAGACTTTCAGCCTCTATTCATGGCCTCTAAAATCTCCACTGGAAATTTTTTATGATGGTTCATGTTCTTGACCTTGTCATAGTTTAAGGTAACAAGAAACATGTTTGGAACAGACTTGAAGCAAACAGCTCTTTTAGCCAGTCTAATAGCCCATTCTACAGGCAGTAATGGTTTAGCCAACTGGCAAAGAGTGATTTCATTGATTATTGATTGTTGATGGAATCAATTATAGTATTCATGATTACTATCTTTTTAGAATGTTTGGAAAAATAGGCCAAAGAAATGCTGTAAAAATATGTTATGTTCCCAGGGCAATGTTCTGTTTAGCTCTAGGCCACTGCAGAGACTCAGTTTTGGCTCACAAGGCAGTAGTTATAACAGTAATGGCAATAGTAAATGTGCCTAGTCTGCCACTGATTCTTATTTTCCTTGAGTAATAAAATACATAAAAAATAAGGTAAATTTCAGTCTTATTTTAAATAATAGCATCAGGATATCCTAAATCTTCTTACCATGATGTGGAAAGGTTACTTTATCATCCTTTCTTTAGAATGAATGAAATTTATCCCTGTCATAACATTGATGGTAAAGATGAAAGCAATGTTCACTTTTCTAAAATTTTTCTGTCCCCACCCCTGAGGAAAATCAATGTCCTACTATGTGAGGAGAAAATCCAAATGAAGGATTGTCTAGATTATTATTTGTTAAGAACAAAGCATCTAAGTGTTGATTAAATCAAACTATGGTGCTTTGCAGTTTCTAAGCCCATTAGTATATATTGCTTTTTTTCAACTTTTGCAGTCTTGTAGTTGGTAGGACACTGATTATTATTCCTTGTTTAAGAGGAAAAGAAGTATAGCGCTGAGATGTGCTTAAGATCACACAGCTGGTAACTAGGAGGCCTTAAGCTAGAACTCAGGAGTTTGTTTCCCTTTGGGTGCTCAGGTTACTGGTTCAGAGGTACCAAGATTTAGTTTTCATGAATTGACTAAAACTCTGGGGGAAAACTGTGCAGATTATTCCGCTTTCTGCCTTTCCATTGTGCTCATTCATCCTTGACCTGCTCTGTAGACAGAAGGCTGATCTTCATGAGTTGCACATTCCTTCCTGAGCTTCCAGTAGGTTTGGACCAATAGGGCTCCCTGGCAGGAGACTTAGGAATGACAACAAATACTGCACTTTGGGAACTGTGATGTCCTTCCAAAGCTGCAGCTTTTGCTGGTGGCTCCTTCTCCATGGCTCCAGCCCTCACTAGGCTCCAGTGACACCATTTTCCCTCTTGACCCCCGTGGGCATCTCACCACCTCTGTTTATTCTTCTATCTTTTCAGGCCTGTGAGCGGTCCTTTCAGGAAAATCACTTTGTTTAAACCATCCGGGGTGAATTCTATTTCCAGCTGAGACCCTGGCTGTTGCAAAGACCAAAACTGACTTACTTACATTTAGATTGCCAAGCAAGGGCAAAAACAATTTAGCAAAATAAAAGACAAAACTAATGTTTACTACTACTCCACTTATCTCATCAAAGTGAAGATAACTTAGGACAGAGAGGGAGAGGGAGATGCAGAGGGAGGGAGACATGAAGGAGGAGGAAAAAGAAGAAAAGGAAGAAGAGAAGCAGATGGAGAATTGTTGAAAACTTCACTAAATTACTAGATTCCTGCTTTATTATGACCTGGTATATTTTATTGTTATCAGAAATTGTGTGCAGTCTATAGGTCAATGTTTGGGAGCAAATGGGTGAACTCATTTTATCATTGCAGCAATCTGTGTCCTTGGTTTTTAACAGATTGAAGGAGATCCTAATACTTTAAATAGGCAGTTCCTGATGCAGTCTACAATATACTTACCAAGTTTCATGAATAGTTTATGAACTATTTCCAGCAAACCTCATGAACACTTACTCTGTGTCCTCCTACAGCCCCCAAACTGAGGTGTATAGGTGTGTAGAAAAGACACGATTCTTGCTCTCACGGTCTAGTTGGAATGACAGACAGGAAAAGAGGCAATTGTAATATACTGAGAACAATGCTAGGAAAAGGTCAGCACAGGGCTGTAAAAGCACTTTACAGAGATAGCACCTAATTTTCCTGGAAGGGGATGGGATGGTGACGCCTGGACCAGGTGGCATTTGAGCTGAAGCTCTGAAGCATTATAGGAGTTTGTCTAATGGACAGCAGAAAAGGGCATTTCAAGCAGAAAACCTGGCTTGAATAAATCTCTGGGGAGGTGAAAGAATAGGTTGTCCCTGGGATTATGTCCTGAAATTAACTTGGTGGAGCTGAATTGCAAGATTGAGGGTGAGACGCAGAATGGAGCCAAAGGGTGAAGAACTTTGGATTTAGTACTGTGAGGTGTAGACTTTATCCTGCAGGAAGCTGCTGTTTATTGGAAGATTTTAAAAAAATTATTAAAGAATGTGACATGGTCAGATTGGTATTTTTTAAAGATCACTGTGGTTATTATTTAAGACATAGATTGGAGGG